GTATTAAAAACTAGGGAAGAGTTTGTTAGATGGTTGAGAGGGAAGAAGATGAGCATGAACCTTGATAAGGAGGCAGGAGGGACTGACATGATGGGAAATCTGTCAGCACTAAGGGGTGAAGACGCCTGCCAGGGAAGAACTGGAAAGGGGTCAGGAGTGACGGTCTTCATTCTTCATGCTAGGAAGGTTGTACTTGACGGGCAGCCAGTGAGTGACTTTAAGTAAGAGGTTAATATGATTACAGTTGTAAAAAAAAATAAATAAAAATAAATTAAAAACAACTCTCAAGCTGCAGTATGAATTGAGAATGGATTGCAGGTGGGAGTAATCAACAGGCATTTATTAAATGTAATAGCTTTATTAGATATGACAGGCACTATATATACATTACATATGTATCCACATTAAATTTGTATGGCAACCTATTTTTATAGATTCAGAAACTGAGAAACATGTGACATGTAGTTAGGGTCAGATCTGGGAACAAACCCGTGCAGTCTAGCTCCAGAGTCCATGATTTTCACTCTATTGCTTCTAAGTGCATGCGTATGACCATGGCCCTCTAATGGGGACACAGTGATGTAAATAAACACCCTGTCCTCAGGTAAGATACAGGCCATTGGAATGGCAGCAGTTCAGGTAGAGATAAAGAGAGCCTGAACCAAGGTTGACTCGGTAGGGACGGTACAGGGGTGGACAATAGTAGGTGTTCAGTTGTGAGTACATGAAATGCAGGGTTTATTATTTTCTGTAATAATCTTAACCTGCATGTCTTTGCCACACAAATTGTAAACCTACTTTTGCCTACCCCTGTATATTTGAGAATGATTTAGCAAGGAGCTGACCAGCTGAACATGCAGAGTCAGAAAGTGAGGGATAGCTCAGATAACTGGACAGAGATGCCACTATCTGAGATGGGGCAGAGGGGAGGAAGGAGAAATATACTGAATGCAGTTGAGGCACCGTGTTTGAGGCACCTGTAAGACATTCAAATGGACATGTCTAGTAATGTGTTAGAAATATGCTACTGGAATTCAGAGGAGCTGCCAAGGTTAGATTCACAGATTTGGGAGTAGGTGAGATTAACCAGACAGAGAGTCAGCAGAAGAGAATGATGATTTAAATGGAGAGAGTTTTAGCAAGTGAGAGGGATCAGCAGTGACAAATGCCAAAGCCAGAATCCCTATCCAGCCTCTGATTGGCAGGGAGTAAGTGATAAAAAGATGAAAATACTATTCTGATTTTGGTCCTGATTTCTGCATAAGCAGAAACAGAGTTTATACCCAAATTTGGGAAAAATGAAAATATCCCATAATAAATTCTTGATGATCCACGTTCATGAAGAAGCCTAGAAAATCACAGATTGCTGGTAATTTACAAATGATTTCTGGTCATCTTTAGACTTCAGAGACATACCTGCCACCACTTGTTATTTTGGAGGGCTTTGTTGAAAATCCTCACTAGTCACTTACACTTGGGTGTTGATCGTTTTTACTTTTTTGCATAGATTTGATTACTTTTCGGTAACAATCACTAATGACGTAGCTGACTTCATAGACACAGAACTAAGATAGGAATTCTGGGTCCATAACAATTATAAATAAAATTAAGTATATTTTTGTTCACAGATAACTATTAGGTAGAGAGAATTCACAAACACACAGTATTCAACTTTTAATGTTATTAACTTAACACTAGTGTATTAGAGAGAGCTTCTCTCTGTGACGTTATATTTAGGCTCTTATGGTGGACTCAGCCAAGCTATCCTTTGCTATTAGCTCTTCCTCTTTGCCTCTTTGGTTTCATCTCAGACAAGTTTGAGGTGAAACCAAAGAGGCAAAGAGGAATTCTCTAGTTGGTTCAGAATTATTCTCTCTGTAGCTGGCTTTTGGGTATTTTCTAAGCATACTGCTTCACACAGAGAAAAATGCACTCAATAAACATTTGTTGAATAAATGCATAAACTGTCAGTTCTGCTTAATGTAAGCTGCTCATGGCAGCACTCAGTTTTTACTCAGCTTGGTCGCATTGTAAATCAGACCTGAGCAGCTCCATGGCACACTGACGCCTCAGAATGGAGGCTAGAAGAGGGGGAGAAGCCTGATCAGACAGAGAAACTGCATTAGGGTTCTTCAGAAAGGAAGAACCAGTAGGGTGCATGTGTGTGTGTGCATTTGTAAAGAGATTTATTTTAAGGAATTGGCTCACGTGATTATGTTTGCTGGTAGATGCAAAATCTGTACAGCAGGTTAGCAGGCTAGAAACTCAGGCAGGTTTTCTATGTGATAGCCTTGAAGTAGAATTAGCTTCTCCTCCAGGAAGCCTGCTTTTGCTCCAACTGATTGGATGAGGCCCACTCATGTTATGAAGGTAATCTCCTTTACTTAAATTCAACTGATCATTAATGCTAATCACATCTACAAAATACACAGCAACATCTGTTAGTGGTTGACGAAATATCTGGGCACCATTGCCTCTCCATGCTGACGCAGCTTCACACCCCAGGAATTAATGTAAGAGAACTAATATAGTGATAGGCGTGCGGGTGGTGGAAAACATTTGGTCAATAAATGTAGGCTGTCCAGAGGGTTGGTCAATTGAAGTTTAGTTCTGGTCAGAATCGATACAGTGGTGTCCTGGGTGGTGAGCGTAGCCCAGCAGCAGATGGTCGCAAGAAGCAAAAACACATGGTAGCAGGTGCCTTCACCCACATGGGTTACTTGTGGTCCACTAGGTCACCAGTGGGACTTTCGTTTCCTTGGTGTTAACTGAGAAATTAAGGCCAGAGTTGAGTTTATGGCCTGCTGACAAAGGCTATGTGTCTCTTTCTTTTTGGGTGCTCCCTCCGGGCTCAGCTGGTGGAGGGTGGTGGGGTGGGCTCAAGTGGCAGTGCTGGCTGGGACACCACCCAGGAGCACTGCCAGGCGTAACTGGCCAGAGCGCTGTCCTGGGAGCTGCACAGCCCGGATGCTGAGCCCAGCCTTGTGTTAGCTCCGTGTGTGACTTTGCTTCCTTATCTCTACCATGGGAATTATAATCCTTGCTCTTTCTCCCTCAAAGAGCAGTCCTGAGGCAAATGAAAAAGGGTGCCCAGAACAATTCTTCAAAAATCACACAAATAAAGGTGGAGATCTGGTGTCATTCAGAGAACATAGGCTCAAATCACACCATACCTGGATTTTAACTTTTCTCTTTCACTTATTGGTAAGCGGCCTTGTTCAAATTTTTAAAAGTGATTGCATTTGTTTCCTCATATCTAAAATGAGAACAACTATGTTATGGTAGTTTCCTAGGGCTGCTGTAAGTGCATATCACAAACTGGTGGCTTAAAATAACAGAAATGTACTGTAAGGCATTTCTGGAGTCTCGAAGGCCAGACCCAAGGTATCAGCAGGGCCATGCTCTCTCTGAAGTCTTTAGGGGAGAATCCTTCCTTGTGTCTTCTCGCTTATGGTGGTTGCTGGCAATCCTTGGCGTTTCTTGGCTCATCGATGTACCACTCCAGTCTCTGTCTTCAATTCAATCTTCTCCCTTGTGTGTCAGTGTCCAGTTCTCCCCCCCCCCCTTTTTTTTAAAGCCACCAGTCATTGGATTAGGACTCACTCTAATCCAATATAACCTCATTTTAGGTTGATTACATCTGCAAAGATCCTATTTCCCTATAAGATCATGCTCACGGGTCCTGGGGGTTATAACTTGAACATATCTTTTGAGGGGACCCAATTCAACCCATAACAACAGTCAACATCACCGGTGCCTGAAAGAGTGGCAGAGACGAGGCGTTCAGCGAATGGGAGCTATGGTCGTCGCGGAAAGAGGAGAAATGAGGACGTCCCCCTCGATCCAGAGAGACACATCAGCAACGTTGTCGACCATGGACTACGACCACATCCTCACATCCTTTTCTGTCTCCACCTGGGAAGCATGGGGTTTTGATGTCTTCTTCTTCCAGATGACGGTTTTCTTTCCCATGCTGGGCAGCGATTGGACAAAAGCCTCCACGGGTCCAGTGCTCTTCTGAGCCACCTAGTGGCTGTGACAGGAGAACTTCCTCCTGGAGAAATGGGCCACACTTTCTAAGGTCCTAGCAGCTGTCCGCTATGTGGGTTCAGGCTGGGGCTGCGAATGTAGGTAGTGCCCTTTTCTAAAGTTGGAACTGGGAGGTTGCCTCCACCTGGCAGCCTTGCCCTTCCAGATTATATACTGGAATATGCCACATGACCTCGGACATCTGCAATGACTTCAGTCCTGGGAAATCCATATAATAGCTATGCACTTAGAGCCAGTCTGGATAAAAAGATGAGAAAAAGGTTCTTCTGGCTCACTGCAAAAAGTGGGCAAAGTAAACTAAGTGCTGGCAACGTACTATCGTCCACTTTGCGTCTGAGGCACAGCCGGGGCCCCCTCCATGCCTTGTCCCCACCGGCCGGTAGGCCGTGAGGCCGTGTCCCTCCTCTGCGGCCGGTTGGTGGGCTTTCACAGCCAACCGAACCAGGGATGTCTTTTTTTTTTTTTTTTTAATATACACGCCAGAGATAAGTGATATTAAATCATCTGCTCTTTATTCACTTGTACACATAATCAGGAGTGGAAGGCGTCTCTGTTCCCTCACCAGACACAAAGCTCAGAGCAAGCAGAGTGGAATTAAGAGTCAGTGAGGTCTGGGAGAATGCTGGGGCACTTGTCTGCTGTGGGCCCTGTCCCCTCCGAGGAAGCAGAGTGACCGACAGGACCAATCGCCCACTGACACGCTATGTGCCAGGGGTTGAACGGCTATTCTTACCCATACCCGTTCAGTGGGGCAGAAGCGATTTTTATGGAAAAACCCATGAGTGAGACTTTTCCATTCCCCCATTTTGCCAGTGCTTGGAGCTGACAGGGAGAGCAATAGCCCTGCACATTTGCATTTAAGTGCTGGAATCTAAATATTTCCATAAGCCATTCTTTAGTACCACATAACTTAGTGTTTGCATGCAAATAATATTGACATAAATGCTTACCATATGAACTCGGTAAAGAATGCTAATTCCCAGAGTCATGAATGGCTTCGAGAAATCAATCACCTTCTCCCGTTCAGCGGTGATGGTGAGTCCTGCCACGGCCAGGTCTGCTTTCTGAAAGGGGTAGAGAGAGCCCATCACTGGGGCAGCCACGTGAGGTGCCGTGCCTCACTGCACTACTGGGGAGATGTTCCTCTAGTCTGGCTTCTGTGCAGCGGGCGTGGCTCTAAGTAGTTACAGCAAATCCAAGGTATGAATGGTCACTAATGTTCATTTGAGGTTAAACCCCTCTAAATACTAAATAAGTATAAAAAGCAGGAAGGATCACTACAGACTGTTCACGGGTAGACTCAAATGCCCTAGAGTAAAGGTTTCAAAGGGTCAAACTTGTGGGTAGGTTTCCTGGATTTGCAACATTGAGTAGCTTTTCATTCAACTTCTTAGTTTGTTCAGTCAGTAAAACTTCACTGAAATCTTATGCTATGTAAGACATTTTTATGGGGGGTGTGGTTACAGTAAGAGATAAAAATGATGGAACCACAGACATTAAAAGAATCTAAAGCAATCCATTTGTTGCACATCGAGGAAATGGAGACCAAGGACTTGAGCAAGTGGCCCATTGTCACAAAGCTCGTCCTTGTCAGAGCTGAGGCTGAACCCCAGGGCTCCTGGACCACAGGCCACTTATGTTGCTGTTGAGGTTAAAATTAGGTGCCACAGCAGAACTAAAAGAAGGGTCTCTGGTCATTTTTCAGGCAAAATCACCAGAATTTGTTCTGCAAATGTTTCCTTCCTTTCTCTTGCTGCCACATTGCACCTTAAGTGCCTGCATCTGAGGAGTCTATCCTGAATTAAGGCCTTCTGGGAAAGGAGATAGTATAGGCTTCCTCAATACTTCCCTCTGTCAGGAAGTTCTTTCTTGTATCTAATTTAGCTCCATCCTATTGCAAAGCAGCTCACTTCTTACTGGTCTTCTCCCCTATAAATGAAGTGGTGGGAAAAGCCCAGTGCTGACTTTCAGTTCTAGCTCATGCTCTGAACGAACGAATGGACATAGGATAGTCACTTCACTTCTTTAGGCTCCCGCAGCCTCATCCCTCACCCAAGGATACAGGGTTCAGAGAGTGCTAGGATTCTTCTCAGCAACTCTCACCATGATTCTCAAAATATAATCTATGACCCCACCTGCCTCAGAATCATCTGAAGGGCTTAATTGAGATGGGAGTTCCTGAGTCTCATCCCAGACCCCTGCAGACTCTGCTGGTAGGACCCAGAAACCTATTTTTAATAACTTGTCCAAGTGGTTCTGATTTATACTAGTGCTAAGGAACCATGTTTTATAAGCTAAACATGTATCACAGATTGGCTGCCATTGGTTCACATTTCAGCTTCTTTAACTCCTTCTAATTCTAGTGGATGATCAGTTGATGCAAAATATGAAAAAAGAAATATGGAGAAGAATCAAGATGGTGGAGTGAGTGGAAGTCACACTGACCTCCTCCCAGGACCAACCTGGAATTACAACTAAATTGTAGAGAACTCACCGGGAACAAACAACTGAACAAGAGCGAGAGAGGAGCCTTGTAACCTTGGAGACAGAAGAACTGGCTTTAGCACAATCTAACTGGTAAGGAGTGTAGTAGAGACTCAAGAAGGCGGGCGAGGTGCCCACAGGTGGCAGCACCAGAAGGATAATGAAACAGTCAGTTAGATCCCCCTGAGAAGAGCAGGCTCTAAACCAAAAGCAGGGATCTCTAGCCTACAGCATCAGAGGTCAAAAAGTACACAGAAAACAGCCAGCTGTGAAAAGCGGAAGGTTTGTTCTCTGCCAGAGACAGGCAGCTGGAGACACAGAGAACCATTTAAAGGGCCAACACATAAATTTTTATTTGCAGCCACTTACCCTGGTCTCCAGCAGAGGCGGGGACAGAGTGGGCTAGAGATGCCTGAGGAGAGACTGGGGAAGGAGGCTTTGCAGAGAGAATTGGGAGAGTGGCCGGCGGAATCTCGGTGCTGCCTCATCGCCCATGTGGCAGCAGCCATCTTGCTCAGGCAGGGACAACCCCCCACCCCGAGTGGCAGCAGCATCAGAGGACCCAATAATACCGCCCCCAGGAGGGACTCCACCCTTCCCTGAGCTGTCTAAGGTAACCTTCTGAGTGCTGAGTGACTAGAAAATAGCTGAAGGAGACAGCCACAAACAGGATATTACTGGAAGTCTCGAACAGACCGCCTAAGGTCAGAAAGGGACAATATCTGACATCATCAGAGGCAGATCCAGAAAGTAAAAACAGCGGTCTCCTACCATAGAAGTTCACACCACAAAGTTAGGAAATCAAGATGGATCAATTTAAGAAGCAGAAGCAAAAAAGAAGAGTCTCACAAATAATGAAAAGACAAAGAAATATGCCCCACTCGAAGGGAAAGGAGGACTCCCCAGAAGGAGAACTAAATGAAATAGAGGCAAGAAAAATATCAGATATTGAGTTCAAAACAACAGTTATGAGGAAGCTCAATGTGCTCAGTGAGCTCAGGGAGAATTACAAAAAACTACAGGGAAATTAGAGGAACCTCTGCAAACTATATCAGCATGAAAAAGGACATAGAAACAATCAATAAGAGACAAGAGGAAATGAAGAATACAATTTCTGAATTGAAGAACACAGTAGAAGGAATCAAATGTAGGCTAGATGGAGCAGAAGCATGAATGAGCCAGCTGGAGGATAAGGTAGCAAAAAGCTCCCAGAAAAAGAAAGAAAATGAAAAAAGACTCAAAAAGAATGAAGAGGCATTTAGAGAAATGCAGGACAACCTGAAACGTAATAATATCTCTATACTGGGGATACCAGAAGGAGAAGAGGAGCAAGGGATAGAGAACCTGTTTGAAAAAGTAATGATGGAAAACTTCCCTAATTGGAGGAGAGAAAAAGTCACACAAGTCCAGGAAGCACAGAAGGTCCCATTCAAGAGGAACCCAATGAGGCCCAGTCCAAGACACATCATCATTAAAATGGCAAATATCAAAGACAATCAGAGAATCCTAAAGGCAGCAAGGGAGAAAGAGGTAGTAACATATAAGGGAGCCCCGATACAGCTAGCAGCTGGCTTCTCATCAGAAACAGTGCAAGCCAGAAGGGAATGGCAAGAAATATTCAAAGTCATGAAAAGCAAAGGCCTGGAGCCAAGACTGCTCTACCCAGCAAGACTCTCAATTAAAATGGAAGGCAAAATAAGGAACTTCCCTGACAAAAGAAGACTAAAAGAATACACCTCCACCAAACCAGCATTGCAAAATATGCTTAAGGGACTGCTTAAAGATGCAGAAAAGGAGTCTATGAATACCCAGTTCCTTTCAGAGTTGCCAATACTTGATATTACCAATATTTTTTAATACTTACTAATCTGATTGTGACAATGATATATTTTAATTGCTCCTTTATTATTTGTTGCAACTAAACCTGTTTTTGTATATTTCTTGCCTATTTCTATTATTTTTAAAAAACTCTTAATGACTGGTGTTCTTTATCCATTTTTTGATTAAATGTTTGTAGAATATTTTCCCTAAAAACAAAACAAAACAAAACAAAACAAACCATTACCTCTTTTTTAGATGTGTTGCAAATACTTTCCTATTCTACTACTTGTCCTTTAACTTTTTTATATGTATATTACTGTATAGTCTTAAATGTTTTATATAGTCATATTGTCAATATTTATAACTTCTGGGTTTGAATATTTTACTTCAGGGTAAGAAAAATATTATTTTGTATTTTCTCCTAAAACTCCTTAGATTCTACATATTGATTATTAACTCACCTGAATATTTCTTGTATAATGTGTGAAGTAGGGCTTATATTTGTTTTATTTCAAGTAATAGTGGTCAATGCACCTTATTTGTTGAATAAACCTTATTTTCCCCATTGATGTGAAATATCAACTTAATCATATGTTACATTTTTAGACAGATATATAAATTTGTCCATAGAATGCTCATTATATTTCATTGATCTACTTGATTATTTCCATGCTGGTGTCATGTTGGTTTAATTGCTGAGACTTTATAATGGTTTTAAATTTTTTAATATTTATAATTAACTTTGACATTTAAAAAAATAAATAAAGTCAATCTGCATTTAAGAAAGAAAGAAAGAAAGAAAGAAAGAAAGAAAGAAAGAAAGAAAGAAAGAAATGGATCTCCTACCTTTTTTGAAAACATGGATGGAACTGGAGAATATTAAGCTAAGTGAAATAGGCCAGCTGATGGAAGACAAATACCATATGATCTCACCTATAAGTGGACTCTATTCAACAAAATAAACTAACGAACAAAATGAATCACAGACATGGAATCATGGAGCAGACTGGAAGTGACCAGAGGGGATGGGGAAGGAGGACAATGGTGGAAAGAAGGGGAAGGGACTAGACAAAGAACATGTATGAATGACCCATGACATGGACAACAGAGTGGGAATTGACTGTGGGAGTGGGGGGGAGGGGGAGGAATGGGTGGAGGTGGGTAAAGGGGAAAAAATTGAGTGAACTATAACAGAATAAACATGATTTATAAATTTTAAAAATATGTTATTAAAAAAATTAAAAAATAAACAATAAAAAAAAGGAAATATGAAAAAGTGAAGTGTCCAACAATCTATAAATAGGCACTCAGCTCTGAAAGAGTATACACACACAACTCTGCCCAAATCACTGAAAGGAAGTAGGAAGATAAACATACTGGCCCTCATTTTACACACAAGGGTGTTTATGATGTATAATAGGGCAAAGGTCAGCTCCTTCTACATCTCCTTCCAATCCTCCACTCCCAATTCATGTTCCATTGGCTCAAGCAGCCAGGTGATTAGCACAGGTTAACAAACTCATGGCCTTATAAAGGGAGATCAGGCTGAAAAGAAACGTGTGCAGATATAAGAGCTTTTCAGTATAAAATTGTTTAAGATGTGCTCATTCTGTATTTCTGCAAGCCTGTGTTGATTACTACTATCATGTGAATCAAAGCTTGAGTCAGAAAATGAGGTTTGATTAGAAAATTGCTTGCATCTTCATTTAGGGACTCTTTGGGGGGTTGTCCAGGACTTTCGGAACCTCATCCCTTTAAT